TTTTTTGGCAGAGCAAAGCGTGTGGCCCGAGGGGCTGAATGGGCGAGTCCGCCTGTCTGTCGGTACCAGGCTGCCCAGCCTGACACCTGCCCACGGGGTGGGGGAGAGACTTAGCTCTGCAGTAGCGCTTGAGGTGAAGAGGCTCTGAGCGCAGGGTAGAGAGCTCTCCCATCGGTTTAGACCTTGTCTTCACCAAAGGTTACTTCGGTATAATTTACATGGCTCGAGGGTGTGAATAGTCCATACCCCTGAGCGATGTAAGGCCTTGTCCACACTTACCGATGCATTGGCGGTCGATTTAGCAAGACCCGCTAAATTGACTGCCGATCGCTCTCCCCTCGACTCCTGTTTTCCACCTGAAGTGCAAGGGGAGTCGACGGGAGAGCGACCCAGTCAACATCGCGTAATGTGGACCCCACGGTAAGTAGATCTAAGTACGTCGACTTCAGCTACATTATTCATGTAACTGAAGTTGTGTAACTTAGATCGATCTCCCCTCCCCCCGTAGTGTAGACAAGGCCTACGTTACATGACCTAAGAGCTGGTGTAGTCCGCACTATAGCTATCGCAGTGGCAGGAGTTATTAAGCCCTCTCCTATCGTCTCTTAGAGCATCTCCCCCACAAATGCTACAACGTCACAGCTGAATCGGGAAGCTGTGCTGCTGTAAGTGCTGTAGTGTAGATGTAGCCACAGTAATTCCTGCCTCTGTGAGAGGTGGTAGTCTTGTCGGTGGGAGAAGCTCTCTTACTGACATAGCACTGTCCACACTGGCACTTAGGTTGGTATAATTTACATTGCTCAGGGGTGTGGATTATTCACAATCCTTAGTGACGTAATTTATACTGAAGTAATTTGAAGTGTGCGCTTAGCCTCACTCCTGCTGATGTCAGTGCGGAGTAACATGCTGAAAGCGGTGGGTTTACACTGGTGCGAGAGGAGAATCGGCACCTTATTTTGGGGGTGGACTGCTGTGTCCAGTCTAGTGTGGTGGTTTTTATGTTCTTGCCATGGGGGTGGAGTGTGAGTGGTTCTGAGACAGACATAGCTAGTCTGCATCATCCTGCCTTAACTTGGCAGTGTTACCTAGTATCAGTGTACAGCTAGCGTTCATGTTTAGTTTATTAACTTAAATGGTCAGCTTTTAGTTTTCAGGACTCCTTTGCTTGTTTAGTTATTCATGTTTCCTTTATTTGGTCTTTTGAGTGGCTTGTTATGAAACACTAATTTGGCTGCTTCCCAGTGCTGATAAATCAGTTTTGAGAAGGAATATGAGTGTGATTGAGAGAATCCCATCATGCAGTATGAATTATCTACAAGTAATTGGATCTGGAAAGACATTATTGCTCCATAAATGTATCTTGTTTCTAAAACAATAAATATGTACATGCAAATTTTCTGAGACTAAGATGCAAGGGAAATTGTAGCTGTTGGCTCTAGTTTGGGGACTTATATTATTCTGAAGTGCTGGGTAGAATAGACTAGAAATGAGCATAGGATCAGGAGCAAAATCTTATTTTCTTTAAATATGAAGCCAGCATATCTGATCCATAGTCAGTTATTCAGATTTGCATTCAAAGCAGAGATTAAATCTATATGCATGAGTAGGTAGGATCTCCAAACTTACATTGACTATGTGCAGAATAAACGTTGAGAATTTTCAAGTAAATCAGTGAATTGGTTGTGATCTTTTTTTAAACTGCACTTTTTTTATTTCTCTAGTAAATTCCTGAATTTTTACATTTTGAAAATTGACTTATAAATTATAGCAAAATGTAAGATGTGGACTACTTTGTAAGTTTCTTAGTGTTAAATTTTGATTTATTTACATTAGCCATAACTGTTTACATTGTGACTGTTGTAGAGTATTTTCATCATCAAAAGGACTCTCCAGCATCTGAAAACAGGTTTGTACTAGAAAGCTTTGCCACGATAGCTATGTTGGTTGATAGTGTGGGGTTTTCTCCAACGTAGTTATGCTGGTAAAAGCACCAGTGTAGATGCAGTTATATCAGTATAAAAGTTCCCCTAGTGTAGATCTTAAGCCTTCATTTAAAAATAAACTATTTCTAACTCGTTGTTATGAAAAAAAATTAAAATATAGATGTTCAAACCAAGACACTATTGCTCTCCTAAGTGTGCAGACTGTGGAAAAACACTTTTGAGTTGCCCTATTATCTCAATGGGTGGTTAAACCCATTCTTAGATTTTAGTTAAATGACAGCTATTTCACTGCTGACCACTTTAGCAGAAATGTCAATCTAATTGACAAATGCATTTGGTGCAGTGTTTGTCATAGATCCTTTTGATTACTGATCTGATGATATAATTGACAAATATATTTAGCCATTTAAAGTCTTAGGTGTCAAAACTTTAAATGGCAAACCCACTTGATGATGAACACAGATAACATGAATCCAAGTGTTGATGTCTAAAACTGTTTTCAAATCCACTTGTCATCTTAATATGGAGGGCCTACAACGGCTCTGCAGCTATTGTTGTGTTGACTCTTTTACTTAAAGTAGGAGTTAAATCTTTTATGTATGAAAAACTTGGGGATCATGGGGATTAGACTAGATGATCCTTGCGGTCCCTTCTAACCCTATGATGATTCTATGAAAATACTCAGTATCTCCTAATTTGCAAGCGTTGGATTCTCTTTAGAATGTCAAACTTGTTTTCAGATACCTCTGCTAAAGAAATTTCTTACTGATAGAGCTGTGTATGTTTTTTTATGCATGTTTTGATCAACTACATGATCCATAGTTCCTTGAAGGGTGTCCTTGCAAAGTAATGATTCTGAAAACTGAAACCATTTGGTAAATTTGCAGAAGAGGTAGAGCAAAGTTAATCAGATTTGCCCTACCCAGGTACGTGCATAGTCCATCAACACATAGCATGGTGCCAGCAGTAGACTGGGCCGTACTGCTGCTTTTCTGGAATTTCTTCTGAGATCCTGGTGGAAAAATAGCTTATGAAGCATAAGATTTTGCTACACGTAACTTGACAGCTATATATATTTTTGTCATAAAATTAACAATATCACTTTTACCTGCAGCCACCACAGTATTTTACTCACTAGCTTCTTGCAGCATTGAATTGTACAGGTTGACTATCACCCATTTGAGGTAGCATAATCTTTTAAAAAGCTTTAAATGTACAGGCCTTTAATTTCACTGAAAAATTAATGATTATTGGAATTACTGTAATGCAGGGGGTCTCAAACTGGGGGTCGGGACCCCTCAGGGGATTGGGAGGTTATTACATGGGGGGTTCATGAGCTGTCAGCCTCTACCCCAAATCCTGCTTTGCCTCCAACATTTATAATGGTGTTAAATATATAAAAAAGTATTTTTAATTTATTAGGGGGGTCACGCTCAGAGGCTTGCTATGTGAAAGGGGTCACCAGTACAAAAGTTTGAGAACCACTGATGTAATGCCTTGTTCTTGTATCATGGATTTGTCTTTGAAATCAGTCAAACCAGATTTAATCCCAAATGTACAAATTAGAATCTATACTATATTTATACAGTCGAAATGGGCAATGTATGTTTATGGGTGGCAGAAGCTTGTTGTGTAACTTTATGTGCAATCTAGATCAGTGGTTCTCAACCTATCCAGACTACCCTTTCAAGAGTCTGATTTGTCTTCCGTTCCCTAAATTTCACCTTACTTAAAAACTACTTGCTTACAAAATCAGACATAAAAATAGAAAAGTGTCACAGCACACTATTACTGAGAAATTGCTTACTTTCTCATTTTTTACCATATAATTATAAAATAAATCAATTGGAATAAAAAATTGCACACTCATTTCAGTGTATAGTATATAGAGCAGTATAAACAAGTCATTGTCTGTATGAAATTTTAGTTTGTACTGACTTCGCTAGTACTTTTTCTGTAGCCTGTTGTAAAACTAGGCAGATATCTATATGAGTTCATGTACCACCTCTGCATCTTGAGAACCACTGATCTAGATCTCATACATTCTTGCGTGTTGCATTCTTTTATATTGCTTTTTTGTTCATTTGAAAACCCACTTATTTTCTGAAGTGCCATCTCATTTTCTTGTAAACCCCTTTACAAGGGCCTAGTGTCTGCCCTGTTTTAGGGCAGGTCTAGACTGGGACTTGAATTGGCCTAGGTACAGCTTTCAGGGATGTGAAAA